GTATGTACATCATGGAATGGCGTAAATCTAATTATAGATTGCCTCACGTAGTTATCATTTTTGTGATGAGAACATTTCACATTCACTCTTAGCATTTTTTAAGTGTACAGTATATTGTTATTAACTGTAGTCACCATGTGTACAGTAGATTTCTTGAACTTGTTCCTAACTGAAAATTTTCATTCTATTTTCACTTGTTCCTTATGATCTTTATGCCTTTTATTTTTCTGGTTTTCTTGCATTGACTGGTCTCCATAGTACAGTGTTGGATAGCAGTGCTGAGAACAGACATCTTGCCTTGTTCTTGATCTTAGGGAACCAAAAAACCACAATTAGATGTAGGCTTTTGTAGTTGCCATTTCTCAGTTTGAAAAAGTTCCCTTCCATTCTACTTTGCTGAGATCTTATTTTTAAGAAATCATGAATAGGTTTTATTTATTTTTCTTTTTTTGAGAAAGAGTCTCACTATATTGACCTCAGAGTACCATGGTGTACACAGCTCACAGCAACCTCAAACTCCTGGGCTTAAGCAATTCTCTTGCCTCAGCCTCCCAAATAGCTGGGACTATAGGCGCCCCCAACAACGCCAGGCTATTTTTTGGTTGTAGTTGTCATTGTTGTTTAGCAGGCCCAGGCTGGTTTGGACCCGCCAGCTCCAGTGTATGTGGCTGGTGCCCTAGCTGCTGAGCTACAGACATGGAGCCAGATTTTACATTTTGACATATGCTTTCTCTGTGCTTGTTGCACCATCCCCATTCTTTGAGCCACCGGGGCCACCCACCACCATCCTCATTCTGTCGCTGTTGTATACAATGGTGAATCACTTTGAATGTCCAGCCAATCTTGCATTACTAGGGTAAATCCCACTTATGTTGTGATGCATTCATCCTCATTATGTTTTGTCAGAATTAATTTGCTAGTATTTTCTTGAGAATTTTTTGTGTCTATGCTATTGAGTGATATTGATCTACAGTTTTGTTTTGTTTTTGAGACAGCGTCTCACTTGGTTGCACTTGGTAGAGTGCCATGAGTCATAGCTTACAGCCACCTCAAACTCTTCGGCTGAAGCGATCTTCTTGCCTCCCTTTTTCATTGTTAGTAGAGACAAGGTCTCACTCTTGCTCAGGTTGGTCTTAAACTCCTGAGCTCAAGCAGTCCACTCACTTCAGCCTTCCACAGCACTGGAATCACAGGTGTGAACCACCGTGTCCAGCTTACAATTTTGTTTTTGTATCCTCTGGTTTTGGTTATTACAATCTCAAAAAATGGGTTAGGAACTCTTCTCTTCATCTGTCTTATCACTGACTTGTATGAGATTGTTGTGATCTCTCCCTTAAGTCACTGATAGAATTTAGCATCAGAGCATCTATTTTCTGTTTCATAGATTTCCATATTTCTTTTCATCTACTTTTCCCCATAGATTTATTTATTAAATTTTTTAACAGCTCTGGTGAGATAAAAATAAGATATACAGACTGCACACATTCTAAGTATTTTGACACACTTGCACATATGGTGTGGCCATCACTGTGATCAAGGCAGAGAGCATAGCTGTCACCCCCTCCAGTCTCACCTTCCCTGCTCCTACCTCCTGGGCAACAACTGATATGCTTTCTGTTGCTATAGATTAGTTTGCATTCTCTAGAGTTTTCCATAAATTAAATCATACATGGGTGCTCTTTTTTTGCCTGGCTGTGTTTACTGAGCACTTTTGAGAGTCAGCTATGTTGCTGCATCTAATAGTGGTATTATCTTTTTTACAGCTCAGTGGTGTTTCATGTGTGGATAAATTTTTCATCCATTTACCTGTTGATGGACATTTGAGTTGTTTCCAGTTTTAGGCTATTAAAGATGAAGCTGCCATGAACATTCTTGCTGAGAGTGAATGTGAAGTGTTCTCACCACAGAAGTGACTGTGTGAGGCAATGCATAATTAGATTTAGTCATTCCATGATGTATCTACACTTTATTTTTATTTTATTTTATTTTTTTACAGTTTTTTTTTTTTAAGATAAGCTTTATTTATTTATTTTTGCCTTTTCTTTTTTTTTGGCCGGGGCTGGGTTTGAACCTGCCACCTCCGGCATATGGGACCAGCGCCCTACCCTTTTGAGCCACAGAAGCCGCCCTCTACACTTTAAAACATTAAAATTTTATAAAGAGGTGGCAAACATATAGAGAATATTTGGTAAATACTTTGTAAAATTTTACAATGACTATTTTAAATAAAAGTACAATTTCCCATTTTCCCTATATGGTGACTTCAGGGGTCACTTTGGGACCCTAACCCTGTATTCACATAATAAATATATACAATTTTCTCTGTCAGTTTAAAAACATTTCTCATTTTTAGACCATGTAATTACTGAATGTGTACTTTAATTTGGGCAGTGGGTAAATATTCAGCAGTGTAACATCAAGGCCACGTATAGTTGATGTGAATTGCCAAAATATTTTCCAGGGTGGTTACACGAGTGTACATTTTCTTTCTTTTTTTTTTTTTGAGACAGGAGCCTCAAGCTGTTCCCCTGGGTAGAGTGCTGTGGCATCTCAGCTCACAGCAACCTCCCACTCCTGGGCTCAAGTGAGTCTCCTGCCTCCACCTCCCAAGTAGCTGGGA